TCACACCACCGCACTCCAGCCTGGGTAACATGGTGAAATCCCACCTCTACTAAAAATACAAAAAATTAGCCAGGCGTGGTGGCGCAAGCCTGTAATCCCAGCTACTAGGGAGCTTGAGGCAGGAGAATCGCTTGAACCCAGGAGGCGGAGGTTGTGGTGAGCTGAGATCAGGGCATTGCACTCCAGCCTGGGCAACAAGAGAGAAACTCCTCAAAAAAAAAAAAAAAAAAAAAAAAAAAAGACCAAGTAGAAGGTTTCCTAGGGAGGGAATATCACATGTAGGATCAGCGGTAACAATAAGCATATAAAGCATAAGAGCAAGCTGGGACCCTCATTTGGTTCTAAAACCACTGAACTGATCCTGGGAATTCTCCTATCCTAAACAGAGGCAGAATTTACAAGCAGTTCTCAGACCTCAGCAAAGGACCAACTCAGATAAAGCCAGTATATACACACAACAGAGATTCTACCTTAGATTCAGAGCTTAACTCTGCTGGAGTTGTGCCATTTTACCCAAGGCTCTGACCTACTCAATTTTGCCCCTGCTGCACATCCACCAAGTCTTAGGGTGCAAAGTGGCATCTCTTCCTTTTTTGGTGGGCCTATCTACTCTTCCTTTGATTGGTCAATATCTCAGGAACCCACCAGTGACTGGTCAATATCTCAGGAACCTACCAGTATCCTTTTGGCCATCCCTATGCCTCTGCCATCCATAAAGTGTGGGTGACTAAGTCAGTCACATATTTAAAAGCTAATTACTGCCACCATATGTAAGGAAAACCAAAGAGGCAGCTGGATTAGACCAGGCAGGCCCAACAATTTGAGGTTATAAAAATGGAGAAGGAATGGTTCCAAATGAAGCTTCCAAGGAAATATCTGCAAGAACTGGTGATACTCGGGAGCAGAGGAGGAGGAAGCCACTGAAGAGACTCTGTGTAAAGCCTAATGATGAGTGGTGGTGCTGACACTCATCATTAGGTGGTGCTGACACCACTCATCATTAGGGCTATTTCTTCATTCCCCTCTTCATTGCTAGCACCCAGTTCCTCTTGGGTAATAAACATACGTTCAGGTAACAAACGATACACAAATTAAACAAATGATACACAAATATCAAACTAAAGACAAAGTACATACATTTGCATTGGCAATGTTTAATGTTTAACTTTTGCAGAACTGAAATTTGTATTCAAAGGCACAGAAGGAAGGAAAGGCAGTTATCAGAGCATGAAGTCACAGATAAAGGATGCTGAATAAAAGGCATAGGACTGCTCCTCTTTAGCCTCAGGAAAATAAATAATGCAGTACTAAACTAGATTTTCACTTTTATTATATTTCCATGTGAAGACATCACCCAAATGTCAGTGGAACAAAAGACTTTATGGTCAGATACCAAAGGCGCACAGTCGATCCCACTTTGGAATAAATGCCCAGAAGGTAAGCATTATCAGTGAGTGACAGATCTAGGCACAAACTAAGTTCTCATTCAGAAAGTGGACAGAGATATGAAGCAGTGAAACATACAGCTTTAAAAACTGGAAATCTTTCATGACATTTGTTTTCAAAGTAAACATTATCTGCATTTCCAGAACTGTAATTTTCAAAAGTAGAATCAGGCCTGATTAAGCAGTACTTATGACTTACAGATAAAATTACAAAAATAAAAATGAAAACTCTTCTGCCCTTGAAAGAGATAGAAAACTATATTTTTTCCCGAAATGTCATAGAGATTCATTTCACTCTTATGTCGCTTAAAAAATGTTATTTTTAATTTGTCTTTCATGTTCTGCCACTTTTAACATAGCAAAACGTGTTTAATATGGCCATCTCTGCTAAGTGAAAGGATGTATTATTTACTGCATGAATGAGAAAAAGCTACAATTTACTCCCAATGGGATCATATTTACCATGTGGGAAAAAAAGATAAAGACAGAGATTTTCCAAAAAATGAAAACAAACAAAACACAAAACTCAATGATTTAAAATATCCTATACATAATTTCTAACTTCAAAGCACTATGAAAATTACTCTTGATCAGTGTGTAGCAAGAGAGGGAAGAGAGAAATTTAAAATTTGGTAGGAGAGCATTTTTCTAACTACTTTCATTTAAATCATATTGGCCTTACCAACTATTACCTTTCTTATTTAAAACACTGATTCACCAGATGAAATCATAACAGCATGAAAGTAAGACCAGATTTCAACTTAGGTATGAGCACAACGATTCAGGACCACGGTTTCCGCCTCACAGAAAGGATTCCCGAGGTGGTGCTCCCTCTTTCAAACATATGCCCTCAAACACCTCACATGCAGTTTCCATGTAAGTATATAAATAAAACAAGTTCTGTATTTTTCCAAACAATTTTACAACTTGATGGTAAATTAGATGTCAAAGATAAAACTATGCCTTTAAAAACATTAAGCTTCAAAATTCATTCGGTGTTTTCTTTAAGAAATGAATTATTAAAATCATTTTTGAAATGACATATTAAACGTATTTAAATCTGGGCTTTTCTGTACTTAATTTTTCTTTTAAAAAAAAGTTTAAAAACATCAAGAGCTGGAACATGCTGCCAGGACAGAAATAATCAGAATGTCTTCAGTCACAGACCCTGGGCATCTCAGTGTTGCTTCATACTTTTCAAAGCTTGAAGTCTCTCTAGCAGTGGAGGATGAGAATAATGCCACATTGAGAACAACCAGTCAGAAACAGGGAATCCCAAGTTATCTTTGTTAAGTTTGATTAAAGCAGAATATAAGTCTTTAGCCTTCCCAAGTTTCTTGGCAAATGCATCAGCTTGAAACTCAAATCTGCGGCTTAGGACTGTTAGGCAAAAAGAAAGAACCTGAAAAAGTAAATGAAAGGGTTTTAGCCACTGTCTACCTCTTTGTTGTTACTGAAGGTTCCATGAGCTGAGACTGTAGAGGAAGTTTGGCTTGGGATAAGAGGAATGGCAGGACAAAAGAAAGATCACTAATATTTAGGGGACCTAGGGTGAGGAAATTATAAATTGAGCCTTATTTTCCCCCAAGCAAACAGGCCAGAAACACATATACAAGTTAAACATCCCTAACCGAAAACTTGAAATCTGAAATGTTCCAAAATCTGAAACTTTTGAGTGCTGACATGAGACTCAAAAGTCATGCTCAGGCCGGGTGAGGTGGCTCACACCTGTAATCTCAGCACTTTGGGAAGCTGAGACAGGCGGATCACCTAATGTCAGGAGTTCGAGACCAACCTGGCCAAGATGGTGAAACCCCGTATCTAGTAAAAATACTAAAATTAGCCAGGCGTGGTGATGGGCGCCTGGAATCCCAGCTATTCGGGAGGCTGAGGCAGGAGAATTGCTTGAAGCCGGGAGAGGGAGGTTGCAGTGAGCCAAGATGACACCCCCGCACTCCAGCCTGGAAGACAGAGTGAGACTCCATCTTAAAAAAAAAAAAGAGTTTAAAGATAATACATCTCAGTCCTCTGCCAAATTTATTTGGTTTATGCGGACAATGTTATAGGAATATGATCTATGCCCCTCCATTTTTCTTTCTTGGGGTGACCACCATACATAATAGAAAAATATGATTCATTTAGCTCATCTTAACTCTGCAATCTATCCCAAGAGAGAATTCTTCTGAATGGAGATACCTCAAGATCTTCGATATTATTTCTTAGCGTAATTTGGAAGCCTTACCAAACATGATGAAATGTTGCCACTGTCAGGTTTGTTATATAGTCTCATTAACCTATGTATTATCACTCACACGGATACCCCTAATGAGCTAACACAGAGCAATGTTCTTAAGTTTCATTTACCACAAAATACCTGATTTTGATTCTGTGGGTTTGGGTGGATCCCTCAGGCTATATGGAGGCAGGTGGTCATGGAGCAGAGGAACAGTCACTAAGCCTCCCTTACTGAGCCGTACACAGACTCAATTAGTGTTTGCTTTGTCCCCTCACACACGTAAGATTTTTACCCAAGCACTGGTGAATATGTGGCCTAGGACACAACATTCTACCAAGTCCTTTTAGGTGTTCACCACTGAAGTCTAATTTTCTACTTACATTTTCCTAAGAGTATGCAAGCGTTTATTTATTTGGGCTTGAATTTTTCTGCTACTTTGTCATACTGACCAGTAAATCCAGGGACTAAAAGACTTTGTTTCATCTATTTGTTAAAACTGTACTGTTCTATTTCCTTTTCCACTATCCTGAAAGCTCTAGATTTGAAGCAGGTAAGAGCATATGTGTGATAATTTTAAAGATCATACATTACCTCATTGTAAGGTGAAAAAATAAACTGGAAGATGATCAATAGTCCAATTAGAGTGGGTTGGCTATCATAAAAACCAAATGCAGCAAAAAGCTCCTTTCGACCAATTAATACAGCAAATAAAAAAAAACACAGGAAAGAATTCATCTAGAAAGAAGGACATGAAATTTCTAAGTTATTACCAAGCTGATTTCACTATGGGATCAGTAGCATCCATAAAGTATAAGAAATCAAAGTGTGGTCGGGCGCGGTGGATCACAAGGTCAGGAGATCGAGACCACCCTGGCTAACACGGTGAAACCCTGTCTCTACTAAAAATACAAACAAATTAGCTGGGCATGGTGGCGGGCGCCTGTAGTCCCAGCTACTCGGGAGGCTGAGGCTGGAGAATGGCTTGAACCCGGGAGGCAGAGCTTGCAGTGAGCTGAGATCGTGCCACTGCACTCCAGCCTGGGCAACAGAGCGAGACTCCGTCTCAAAAAAACGACAACAAAAAAGAAATCATAGTGTGATCTTAAGAAAGGTATCAGTGTGATCACAGAACAAATTATTTAAGTGGTTTTTACTTATTTTTATTTTTTTGAGACGGAGTCTCACTCTGTTGCCCAGGCTGGATTACAGTGGCACAATCTCTGCTTATTGCAACCACTGCCTCCTGGGTTTGAGCGATTCTCCAGTCTCAGCCTCCCAAGTAGCTGGGATTACAGGAGCCTGCCACTATGCTCAGCTAATTTTTCTATATTTGTAGTAGAGACGAGATTTCACCATTTTGGCCAGGCTGGTCTTGAACTCCTGACCTCAGGTGATCCGCCCACCTCAGCCTCCCAAAGTGCTGGGATTATAGGCATGAGCCATCCTGCCCCGCCAGTAGTTTTTAGTTTCACTTTTATTTCAAAAGTAAAACAAAATGTTCCCAAATGTATAAACTGTATCATTTTCTATAAGGGCAAGCTTCAGTTGAGCCTCCTATCATTGAGGGTTTGAAGTGGTCAATAGCAATGGGATATTTTCTCTCTGTAAAGGGTGAAGTGCTAGAATGGATTCTGGCCTTGTTTTATAAGACTGTAATCAGATACAACGTCTCCCACCTGACTTTGAAGTGGAGGCTCCAAAGCAACAGGCTTCCCTTGAATCCTCTCTAGGCCCACTGGAGCTGTACCGAATAGTTAGAAAGGTCAGGGGAGAAAGTAGATCCATCTTGAACAATAAATGAGTGGGGAAAAAAATTAAAAATCTATACCAAAATACAACCTCTTCGAGTAAGGTTGGAGAACACACAACATTCTTTTTCTGTAGCAAATTAGGATCTTGGAGGCCACATGGACCTTATTTAAGTGTGTTGCTCCAAACCATTTACGAGACAACCCAAGAAGCTGTCAGCTTAGAATGGGGCTCGGAGCGTAAGAAGGCTCACCAGCTGCTCCAGGACAAAGGACAAGCAGCTTCGCCCTCATCCTTATCACTCAGTGGATCCATATGACAAGCTCCAACAGAAAACTCAGTGAAGTCTCCTACACTTATCATCTATGCATCCACTTTTGTCAAGTAACCATTGTCCTTTTGAAAAATAACTGTTGGTTTGCTACTGGGCCCTACTACAGACTGAATTCCTGGTCATGGGATACCATGATCCTGCAACCTGAACTATTCCTCCTGAACTGGATGCTATGTTAATCTGCCTAGCCAGGAAACTGGTATGCCCAGAAACACTTCATCATCAAGCATAAGTGATAGATATAAGAGTGGAAATGAAGCAAGTTATGAAGGCACCAGTAAGTTAAATAAGCAGGTGGCTCATACTCTAGTACACCAACTCCTGCCACCAACAACCCTCAACCAACCCTTACTCATAAGCCATTTCCTGTAATCAATTAGTTGAACAGGAAAAAAATCAGAGCCTATTTTACAAATAACTTAACACAACATGCTGGCACCAGATGAAAGTGGACTGCTGTGGCATTACAGAGCCACTCAGGGATGGTCTTGGAAGGCAGCGGTGAAGGGATATACTCTCGGTGAGGGGAACTTTAAGGTGTATATCTCACTGTCCACTCAGCCTGGGAGGAGAGAGAGCCTGAGGCAAGGATATATATCCTAATTCATTGGCAGTGGGAAAAAAATGGTTCGGCTGGATAATTAGGGCCTTGGAAAAAAGTAGAGGATGGCTAACAAGGAGATTTGGCAAAGAGGTATGTGACAAAACTTCCAAAATTACTGCAGAGTTTGATTATAGGTGGCCTAATGTTAATGTTCACCCAAAGAGTCCCACAGTCAAGGAGGCTCTTGGTCAACTGGGGAAGACACCTGCTCTGTGAAGGTCAGCTAGCCTTTCTCTGTAGCCACTTCATGACTTAGTCAAGGGACTTATGAATAGAGTGGCCACAGTGACAAAGATGGAGTTAACGTATTAGTCAACACAGACACCCTCCTCACTGGCACCTGCCATATGTCCAGTCTGTCCGGAGAAGCAATCAGTCCCAGTCTTGATAAGGTACCACATCTCAGGGACCAGCCAACCACCTTGTGGTAGGCTGATTCCATTGGAACCCTTCCCTCATGGAAGGGGCAGTGATTTTCCTTATTAGACTGAAAATTCAACTGAATTTGGACCTGGATTTATTTAGTCTTACTCAGTGCCATGTATCCACACAACACAGCTTCAAGCCAAGGAATGCATTTCTATACCTAAAGATACAGGAAAGTGCCCACAGGAGTTCACAAGTCTTCCCTTGTAATTCATCACCCAGAACCAGCTGGCCTTTTTATTTTAATTTTTTTTAGAGACAGGGTCTCCTTGTCACCCAGGCCGGAAGTGCAGTGGTGTGATCATGGCTCACTACAGTCTTGATCTCCTGGACTCAAGCCATCCTCCCATCCCAGCCTCCCAAGTAGCTGGGACTACAGGTGCATACCACCAAGCCCAGCTAATTTTTTAACCTTTTGGAGAGAAGGGGTCTTGCTATGTTGCCTAGGCTGGTCTCAAACTCCTGGCCTCAAGTGATCCTCCCTCATCAACCTTCCAAAGTATTGGGATTACAGGCATGAGCCACTATGCCTGGCTCAGCCAGCCTTTTTAAAGGTCTGAAAACCCACTGAAGATTCAGTTAAGGCCACATATGCTCAGAACTAGTCAACATGATATAGTGCTTTTTCACCCAAAGTCTAAACATCTGTTGGTTTAGAGGTTCTAGAACCCAGAGGAGGAACATTATTGGAATTGCTTTCTTTTTGTATTTTCTGCAATTTCCAATGAATATACAACTTTTTTTTTTTTTTTTTGAGAAGGAGTCTCGCTCTGTCACCCAGGCTGGAGTGCACTGGGATGATCTCAGCTCACTGTAACCTCTGCCTCCTGGGTTGAAGCAATTCTGCCTCAGCCTCCCGAGTAGCTGGGATTACAGGTGTGCCACCACGCCTGGCTAATTTTTGTATTCTTAGTAGAGATGGGGCTTCACCATGTTGGCCAGGCTGGCCTCGATCTCCTCACCTCAAGTGATCCACCATCTTGGCCTCCCAAAGTGCTGGGATTACAGGCGTGAGCCACCACGCCTGGCAATAATAACTTTTAAATGAAAAAAATGTTTTAGACTGGGCGTGGTGGCTCACGCCTGTAATCCCAGCACTTTGGGAGGCTGAGGCGGGTGGATCAGCTGAGGTCAGGAGTTCGAGACCAGCCTGGCCAACATGGTGAAACCCCGTGTCTACTAAAAATACAAAAATTAGCCAGGGATGGTGGTGGGTGCTTGTAGTCCCAGCTACTCAGGAGGCTGAGATAGGAGAATCACTTGAACCTGAGAGGCAGAGGTTGCAGTGAGCCGAGATCATATCACTGCACTCCAGCCTGGGCAACAGAGCGAGACTCCGTCTCAAAAAAAAAAAGACTTTGAGAGGCCAAGGGGGTTGTGGAGCACGAGGTCAGGAGTTCGAGATCAGCCTGGCCAACATGGTGAAACCCCGTGTCTACTAAAAATACAAAAATTAGCCAGGGATGGTGGTGGGTGCTTGTAGTCCCAGCTACTCAGGAGGCTGAGGCAGGGGAATTGCTTGAACCTGGGAGGCAGAGGTTGCAGTGAGCTGAGATCGCGCCATTGTACTCCAGCTTGGACAACAAGAGCGAAACTCCATCTCAAAAAAAAAAAAAGCATTTTAGGGTGGGCACAGTGGTTCACGCCTATAATCCCAGCACTTTGGGAGGCTGAGGCGGGTGCATCACCTGAGGTCAGGAGTTCGAGATCAGCCTGGCCAACATGGTGAAACCCCGTGTCTACTAAAAATACAAAAATTAGCCAGGGATGGTGGTGGGTGCTTGTAGTCCCAGCTACTCAGGAGGCTGAGATAGGAGAATCACTTGAACCTGAGAGGCAGAGGTTGCAGTGAGCCGAGATCATATCACTGCACTCCAGCCTGGGTGACAGAGCGAGACTCCGTCTCAAAAAAAATTTTTAATTTAATTTTAAAAAAGCATCTTAATGTTCAACTTATCTAGGCTTGTTCCTTTTGATCTTCCAAGTTCTTACTCTGGAGGTGATGGTGGTGATAATAATAATTTATATAGTGCTCACCACATTCCAGGTGCTAGTCTAAAATCTTTACATGTATTAACTCACTTAATTCTTAAACAGTCCTATGAGGTATTATCATTCAATGAGGAGACAGAGGCAGAGGTTAAGGAACTTGGCTGAGGTCACACCGGTAGTAAGTCAGGGAGCTGTGATGGGAAACCAGGTAGCCTGGCTGTGGTGTCTGTCTTGACCTCTCTTATATGACCTCTCATGCCTGCCATAGTTCTAATTTGACTACCATGCCATAAAAAAATAATTGTCACTCCACACTTACCTGGCTAATAATGATATTTTTGACTGTATGTCCCAACTTCCAGTGCCCCAGTTCATGGCCTAGTACAGCAAGTACCTCCTCATTTTTACATCCTTGTTTCTTATTCTGAAAAAAAAAAAAAGAAAAATAAATTATTGAGAACCTTTAAAAAGTTTTATCTTTTAACCCAGTAATAGCCCTTCATAGATTTTAACTTAAAGAAATAATCAGTTTTGCTCAAAACTGTTGTCTTAACAAAACATTCCCTGAACCACTGCTCCACATGAGACAGTGGGCTAAGCATTAAAGACAGAATGACGAACAAGATGGACATTTCCAGACTACATAAAGCTTACAGTCTAGACTAACTTAGATTAGGGAAAAAAAAAAAACTGGAAGAAATAGAAATCTTTATCAATGGGACAATAGTTAAATAAATCATGATAAAGTTATATGACAGTCACACTGTATTACAAAACCATTAGAAATTTTGTTTTCAAAGATTAGGGCCAATTACAGTGGCTCACGCCTGCAGTCCCAACACTTTGGGAGACCGAGGCAGGCAGATAACTTGAGGCCAGGAGTTCTAGGCTGGCCTGGCCAACATAGCAAAATCCCATCTCTACTAAAAATACAAAATGTTGCTGGGCGTGGTGGCTCATGCCTGCAATCCCAGCACTTTGAGAGGTCAGGGTGGGCGGATCACGAGGTCAGGAGTTCAACACCAGATTGACCAACATGGTGAAACCTTGTCTCTACTAAAATACAAAAAATTAGCCGGGTATGGTGGCAGGTGCCTATAATCGCAGCTGCTCTGGAGGCTGAGGCAGGAGAATTGCTTGAACCTGGGAGGTGGAGGTTGCAGTGAGCCGAGATCGCGCCACTGCACTCCAGCCTAGGCGACAGAGCAAGACTCCATCTCAAATAATAATAATAATAATGATAGCCATGTGTGGTGGTGCATGCCTGTAATCCCAGCTACTCAGGAGGCTGAGGCGTGAGATCTGCTTGAAACTGGGAGGCGTAGTCTGTAGTGAGCCAAGACCACGCCACTGTACTCCAACCTGGGCGAAAAAGTGAGGCTCCATCTCAAAAAAAGAAAAAAAAAAAAAGGATTATGTTCTGACATTGGAAAATGATTAGGTGAAGAAAGACACAAACTAAAAATATATGGTATGATTCTAATTATGAAACAATGTGAATGTGTATATAAAAATATACAAATATAAAAAGTAGACAAAGTATATACAAATGTTAACAATAGTTATTTCTTTTTTTTTTTTTTTTT